TCGCAACTCATTCAAGAGCTCGTAATTATTTGCTGATGGTTGTGGGCTCTTTCTCCTTTAGAGAGGACAATATTAGAGACAGGCTGGGGCTATTTTCCCCAGAGCATTGGATGTTGAGGGCTGACCTTATGGAGGGGGATGGATAGGGTGAACAGCCAAGATCCTTTTCCCAGGGTAGGGGAGTCCAAACCTAGAGGGCATAGGTTTAAGTTGAGATGGGAAAGATATAAAAGGGACAAAAGGGGCAACTTTTTCATGCACAGGGTGGTGCGTGTATGGAATGAGCTGTCAGAGGAAGTGGTGGAGGCTGGCACAAATACAACATTTAAAAGGCATCTGGATGGGTATATGAATAGGAAGGGTTTAGAGAGACATGGGCCAAAGACTGACGAATGGGACGAGGTTAATTTAGGATATCTGGTCGGCATGGACAAGTTGGACTGAAGGGTCTGTTTCTGTGTGATACAGTCTGTGTGACTCTATATCAGAGTGGCAAAGATAATTTGCCCAGTAAAAACGCATGCCTGTCATGCTGATAATATATAAAAACACAGTCTTTTATCATGAACTATACTCAAAGATAAGCAAAGAGATTTTGGGTAAGAATGTGCTTGTGTGTTTGCATTTATTGCCACATGTTGAAATGAGTTCCCTTGTTACCCAGTTGCTGGGTGAAAAGCAGTAACAATGGCAAGAGTGTGGGTAATGACTCTGAGTGGTAGAGAATGTGTATTTCTTTTCTTTATTCATGGGATGAGGGCATCACTGGCTAGGCAGCATTCATTGCCATCCCTAATTGCCCAGAGGGCAGTTACAAGGCAAGCACATTGCTGTGGGTCTGGAGTCACATGTAGGCCAGACCAGGTAAGGGTGATAGTTTCCTTCCCTAAAGGACATTAATGAACCAGATGGGTTTTTCCAACAATCGGCAATGGATCCATGGTCATCATTAGACTCTTAAGTTCCAGATTTTTATTGAATTCAAATTCCACCATCTGGGGATTCGAACCCAAGTCCCCAGAACATTATCTGGGTCTCTGGATTAACAGTCCAGTGATAATACCACTAGGCCATCGCCTCCCCATTTCAGAAGAACCAAGGTATACGTTATAATAAAATCAAAGTACTGCAGATGCAGGAGATCTGAAATAAAACCAGGAAGTACTGGCAAAACTCAGAAGGTCTGGCAGCATCTGTAGAGAGAGAAAAACAGAATTAACATTTTGAGTTCAATATGAGCCTTGGGAAGATAAAACTTAGTTCTCTTTGTGATGTCTTCAAGCCTCCTACAGTAGTGTGACAGCTCCTAGGTGGTGAAGGTAGAACCAGTTACCTCTACCACCTCTCCAGAGAGCTGGCACCACGCCTTATTGGGTTCCAATCTTAGAGGCTACAAGTCTTAGTGGCTCTTACCCTTTTAAATACTTCAATAGAATAGTAATTCCTCCAGTGGTAGTATGTTTTGTGTGGCTTGCACTACTGATCCATACCAATATTATATAACAAAGGATAGCCCCACAGAGAAACTGTAGCAAGTGGACTCATATTTTTGGAATTTATTCCCATTCCTACAGTAAGCTAATGGAAGGGAAATCCAGACTATAGATGTGTTGAAACTGTATTTGTTTGAATATTTCAAAATGAAAAAAAAAAGTTTCTGGAATATATATTTGAAAGTACTTTCACAACTTTTAATTAGGATATAAATCTAAACATATTGAATTATTGTGAAAATGGTTGGATTTGAATCTGCAGCATTAGATTCTATTGGGATTGTGCTATTTTTGTATCAGAAGCTGGGGATTGTGTAGTATTAAGGAACAATTCATCACAGTGAGCCATTACAAGGCATTTATATAAGAGTCAACGGACTCCCATTACCCTGATGAAACTTTGCCTGGTCAACGATGGTGTTATGGCTCAACCCAAAAGAGTTAAAGTCCAAATAATGTCGTTGTATTTGGCAGGCCCTTCTTCTATAATGTTCTAATGAGAATGGCATTGGGAACAAAAACAAAGTTGCTGGAAAAGCTCAGCAGGTCTGGCAGCATCTATGGAGGAGAAAACCGAGTTAACGTTTCGGGTCCGGTGACCCTTCCTCAGAATGGCATTGGTACTGCTGTAAAGTCCTGAGGCATTGCTGTATCTACTAATATGTTGTTGCCTGTTGATCTAATACATTGTCTAGTCAGGGCCCTCCATGTGATTTAAATGTTCTGGTAAAGGCAAGGTTTTTTCCAGTTTCTATCATTGAGTTGATACATCAGAAGGCTTTTTACTTTTCACATCCTTTTCAGCATTGCATGGAGTTACCTCCTTGCTGTTTTCCCTCTCTGGGGTCTGCTGAGTGGGCTGGTCTGGAAGTCTTTCACCTTGCTGCTCTATACTGCTGCTGGATCCTTCTTCACATTTTCTCTACATTCCTGTGGCATGTCATGAAAGACCTTTAAGGAGCAATAATCAGGCACTTTCTCATTACAGGTTGAAGACATCTCTAATCATAGCACCCTGCATGTGAAATGCATACATTGTCCAACTGTGTGGGATACAAATCTGGTCACAAGGAGTCATGACCATGCCATTGGTCATTGCAGATTGATGATAGTCATCCCTGATCAGCAGAAGGAATCGCATAACCTTAAAAGGCTCACTTGTGACCACAATTCACAAAGACAATCCAAGATCCTGTAGGCTACACAAGGGCATGGAGCTAATTTCCTCTCATTTTGTACTGTAACAATTTGCCAAAATGTCTTATATGCAAATTTGATTTTCGTTGGTGATATATGGGACATAGGGACAATTTCTTAATTTGTGTGTGCTGCATACATTAGAATAAGGTCTCCTATGTCAAAGGTTTTTGCAAAGCTATTCCGTGGTCATCCTTATCAGTTTCCTCCACATCCCACTGACTTTTCATGGTCCTGCTGGTCATTACTCTTTGCATTTACTATGACAGAGATAGTAAGAACTGCAGATGCTGGAGTCAGAGATAACACAGTGTGGAGCTGGAGGAACACAGCAGGCCAGGCAGCATCAGAGGAGCAGGAAAGTTGATGTTTCAGGTCGGGGCCCTTCTTCAGACTATGACAGTTGAGTTCAGCTCTAACTCTTGTAGGCCCTGGTTTGTGTGTCAAGAAAAGCAAGACGTTTTTATTAGTATTTTGACCAAAGAAAATGTGCAAACTTTCAAAATTCGTATATTGTCATGAACTGGCTGATACAAAATAAACTGACTCATCCAATAGAAATGTGAATTAGTTTCCGTGTTACTTACTTCCCAACACTTACTAATTTTGAAATAACCTGTTATTGGAAATTTAACATTTATTTTTATTTGCTCATGGGATGCTAGCATTGCTGTTGAGGCCACCATTTATTAACAATCCATGGGCGAAGAATAAGGCCAACCTCGCAATTGAGCAATCCAAACAAAGTGGCATGTTAGTCCAAAATTAACCAAGAGGCAGAAAGCAGGGGGATGTTTCTGTGACTGGAAATGTTTCTAGTGGGAGTTTGGAGGGCTCAGTGCTGAGGCACTTGTTTTTTGCGATTGAATACTTAAATGTAGGGTGTGTGATCAAAAAGTTTACAGATGACATGAAAATCTGACAGTGCTGAGTAGAGAAGAGGGTAGTCAAAAACTGTAGGAGGATATCAATGGAGCAAAAGCATAGTTAACGTTTCAAGTCCAGTGGCCCTTCTTCAAAAATGGAATGGTAGTTCTGAAGAAGTGTCACTGGGCCTGAAATATTAATTCTGCTTTCTCCCCAACATGCTGCCAAGCCTTCAGAGGTTCTTTATTAATTTCTGTTTATGTTTCAGATTTTCAGCTTTCACAGTTCTTAGTTTTATTTTGTTAATTTGGAGCACATCAATGGACTGGTCAGATGGGCAGGGCAGAGGAAAATGGAGTTCATTCTGAAATAGTGTGAGATAATACAGATGGGGAGGGCGAACAAGGCAAGGGATTATACTATCAATGGTAAAATCCTGAAAAGTACTGAAGACTGGCAGTGCCTTGCTGTGCATTTCCACAGATCCCTGAAGGTAGCAGAGCAAGTAGATAATGTGATTTAGAAGCTATATGGGATACCTTTGTTAGCCCAGAATATAAAAGCAGGGTAGTTATGCTGGAACTATACAAAACACTGGTTGTGTCACAACTAGAGTGCTGCACGTAGTGTAGTCACCATATTATAGGAAGGATCTGATTGGACTGGAGAGGGTGCAGAGCTGACTTACCAGGATGCTGCTTGTGCTCAAGGATCTAAGCTCTGAGGAAATATTGCACAAGTTGGTTGTTTACCTTGGAGCAGTGAAGTTTGGGAGGAGACTCAAGAGATGTGTATAAGATTACAAAGGGCATAGATACTGAGGGGAATAGTTTTCACCCAGAGGGTGTTGAGAGCCTGAAACTCACTGCTTGGAAGAGTGATTGAGTCAGAAACTGTCATAACATTTAAGCAGTGGTGCAATATTCACTTGTTGTTGCTGTAGCCTCTCGAGCAATTGGCTGGCGAAATGCCGGAAGTGGCGAAATGCCGGAAAATTGAATCAGTACAGTCAGATCATTGTTGACTTTGTGTGGATAGAATGGGCTGAATGGCCTCCTTCTGTGCTGTTTAAAAAATGTCTGTGAATCAACCAGACAATGAATTTAGTTAATCACCAAACATGCAGCAATTCCACTGGTCTTTTGCCCTGTTTTATTTTTGAGACAACATTCCTGCACAGTACAGCCAGCTGGATGTACTCAGTCACGACAGTATCTGATCTTATTCTTGAAAATAATCACTTCAAGAAATAAATTGAATACAAACTCAGTGCTGGGAAATGTTTTGAAATCTTTTAATATTTAGCATGTAGGACTTTTATTTCAATGTACTTTTCATTGAGTAAAATATTTTACTCGAATCTTGATGACAGGAAATAAATCATGAAGATTAAAAACCATAGTTAGGCACAGATTTTCACCAATTTTTGCTTCCATCTTTCAGATTTGCCATGTGAGAATTATGGAGAATGAAGGGGCTTTCCATTAGACCTCCACCCCTAAAAGTGGCTGACCATGGGTTCAGCATTGAATATTTTAACACGATAGTGCTTTGCAGTAAGTATGCACCCTGCTGGTTCTAGAAATGTCCATGCCATTTTTCTGAGGGCATTAGCGTAGCCCATGCTGGTCCTGTTCTGAGGTGGTGGCGGCCCGTCATGAAATTGAAAAAGTTTCCTGATAGCTCAGACCCAACAAGGCCATGAGCACAGGCAGTATCCCTGCCAAAATATTAGAACAAATTTTAAACTCAAATACATGACTTCAACTCCCTCACCTGGAAGGAGGAAAGTGTGTCAGCAGATTTCTTGGGTGCTATGATTGTGACCATCTTCGAAAAAGGAGATAAGAGCGATTGTGATAACTACAGAGGAATTAGTGTTTTGTACAGTTTCAGCAAAACCACCCTGCTCTTATATTCTGGGCTAACAAAGGCACACGTCCCATATAGCTTCTAAACCACATTATTGACTTGCTCTGCTACTTTCAGGGATCTGTGGAAATGCACAGCAAGGCACTGCTACTCTTCAGTACTTTTCAGGGTTCTACCATTGATAGCATAATCCCTTGCCTTGTTAGCCCTCCCCAACTGTATTACCGCACACTATTTCAGAATGAACATCCATTTTCCTCTGCTCTGCCCATCTGACCAGTCCATTGATGTGCTCCAAAATAATAACTGCTACCCACCACAGGGAAGGTTAATTCAAGAATCCTCATCAGTCTCTGCCTGCAAGTGGCTGAAGAGCTCCTCTCACAGTCTCAATGCCAATTCCCTCCATCAGGAGGGACCATGGACATAATCTTCACACAACAATATTTTCTGAAAAACAGCAGCCACCTCCAGAAATCACCTTCTTTGACTTCACAAAGACCTTTGACTCTGTCAACTGGGAGGAATAATGGAACATTCCCCTCAAATTTGATTGGTTGCAGGAATTCATCATGATCCTCCACCTGTTTCACAACACCGTGGAAGGAGTGATCTTCCAAGGATTTAGCGTGGACCCAATATGTGTGCAAACCGGGGTCAAGTCAGGCTGTGCCATTGCACAAATAGTCTTCTCCTGGCTACAACACTGCACTCCGTATCCATGAAACTTTCCATTGGAGTGAAGCTTATTCCTTGGACTAGCAGGAAACTTTTGAAACTGCATCGCCTACAATCCAGAACCAAGAGGAGCTCAACCTCTGTCATCGAGCTGCAGGATGCAGATGCACTTCTGTGTGTGCACATGAAGAGGCCAAGTTTCAAACTATTGTCTATGCATCCACAAAGATGTATGAAAGATTTGATTTGATTTTGATGTAATTGTCACATGTATTTTATGGGAAGAATACAATAAAATACAGTGAAAAGCCACTGATCCCCAGGCACCATGTTTGCCGCTGGGCCCAGCTCATTGATGCTGCTGTGATGCTCTTCCGCCATCACTTCACGGCCACCAGCGCTGGACCCAACCAACAATGAAGTCACCGATCCTCAGGCATCACCATTGCAGTTGGGTCTACCTTGCTGACATCGCCTCTGTTGATGTAGCAGCTCCCCAATTCCAGGTCCTACGCCTGCTCCGGAAAAGTAAGTGGGGGCTCAGTCTCCTCCATGCTGGGTCCACTTGAGGTGCGCACCCTGGGCTCTCACCACCACTGATGCTGTCCAAGCTCAGGACGAGGTAAGTGTATGGCTTCCAAAACAGGTTCCCTGATGCTCCAAGCTTCATCATGGCAAGTGGTTACCAGGAAGGCAGATGAAAGATATCCTCAAAGCCTCCCTGCAATATGCAATATCCCTGCTTATTTATGGGAATCGCTTAGCCAGGACCACCCAAACTGGAGAAGAAGCAACTATCACATCCTCCTTTTCTTGCTGAAGGAACATTGCATACATATTCGTAAGTTCATAAGGAAGTAGGAGCAGGAATAGGCCATTTAGCCATTCAAACCTGCCCTGACATTCAAGATCATGGCTGCTCTGCCCCAGGTCAAAACAGCTGTTTTGTGCCACCTCATTGTGGCTGTCAACTCCCTGATATTTCTAAAATCTATCTACCTCCTCTTTAAGTGCTTTCAGTGACCTAGTCTCCACTCCTCTCTGGAGTAGAGAATTCCCACACTCATTACCTTTTGGCAGAAGAAATTCCTTCAGTTATAAACAAGTGTTCCCTTATTCTGTAGCTAAGTCCCCTACTTCGAGACTCCTTCACTAGTGGGAACATCTTCTCAACATCTACCTTGTCAAGTTCCCTCAGAATCTTGTATGTTTCAATAAAATCATCCCTCATTTGTCCAAATTCTAATGAATAAAGGGCTAACCTGTTCAGCCGTTCTTGATAAGTCAATGCCTTAATCCCAGGAATCAGCCTAGTGAATCTTTTTTGAAGAGCCTTCAATGCCAGTGTATCTTTTTTTAAATATAGGGACCAAAATTGTACACAGTACTCCAGGTGTAGTCTCAACATCATCTTGTAGAATTGTGACAAGACCTCCCAGTATATAAATTTCAATCCCCTAGCGCAACAAGATCTTAATCAGATAGGCCAATGGGTCAAGAAGTAGCAGAAGGGTTAAGAAGGGACGTCATGTTGCAGCTGTACGTGACATTGGTGACACCACTTTTTGAATATTGCATACAATTCTGCTTGCCCTGCTATAGGAAGGATGATGTTGAATTGGAAAGTGTGCAGACAAGATTAATAAGGATGTTGCCAGGACTGGAGGGTTGGAATTATAAAGAGAGGTTGGATAGGCCAGGACCTTTATTCCCTGGAGCATCGGAGGCTACAGGCTGCCCTTAGTAGAGTTTGTAAAAGCATGAGGGCATAGATAAGGTGAATGGAAAAGGTATTTTTCCAAGGATAGGGGAGTCTAAAACTAAAGGGCATAGGTTTAATGTGAGAGGGGAAAAATTTAAAAGGCACCTGAGGGGCAACTTTTTGCACACAGAGGGTCGTGCATGTATGGATTGCCAGAGGAAGTGTTAGAGACGGGTACAATTATAACATTTAAAAGACACTTGGACAGATACATGAATAGGAAAGGTGTAGTTCGATATGGGCCAAATGAAGGCAAATGGGACTAGTTTAGTTTGGGCTACCTGGTCGGCATGGACAGGTTGGACCAAAGGGTCTGTTTCCATGCTGTATGAGTCTCTGACTCTAGGAATAAAGACCAAGATTCATTTGCCTTCTTAATTACTTGCTGCACCTGTATGTTAACTTTGTATTTTATGCTAAAGAACACCCAGGTCCCTCTGCACTACACTTTTTGGAGTCTTTCTCCATTTAAATATTAGTCTGCTTTTTTATTCCTTCCTAGCAAAGTACATAACCTCACATTTTCTTACGTTAAACTCCACCACCTAGGTTTTTGCCCATTCACTCAACCTATATCCCCTTGCAGATTCCTTATGTTCTCATCACAACATCCCTTGCCACCTGTTTTTGTATTGTCAGCAAATTTGACATATGCCACTCTGCTAATTCCTCCAAGTCATTTATATCAATACTAAGTCGGACTTTAAGTCTGATCTGTGTGACATTCCACTAATTATGTCTTTCAACCTGTATAAGACCCATTAATCACAATTCTCTGTCTTATGTGTATTAACCAATCCTCAGTTCTCGCTAATACATACCCCTAATAGCTCCTATCTTGCAATTATCTTTTATTAGCACCTTGTCAATTCTGCTTTTTTGTCTTTAAAGAACTCTAGCAAATCTGTCAAACAATTTCCCTTGCTCAAAACCACATTGACTTTGTTTGACTGTATTAAATTTTTCTAAATGCCCTGCTGTTTCTTAGATTCCAGAATTTCACAATGACAGATGTTAGGCTAACTACCCTATAGTTTTTTTTTATTTTCTATCTCCCTTCTTGAACAGGGGTTTCACATTAGCAGTTCTCCCATTCTGCGGGAGCCCTGCCAGAATCCAGTGAGGTCTGGAATCTTTCAACTAATGCCTCTACCAATTTTGCAGCCACTTGTTAAAAACTCTTTGAGTGAATACTTTGTCCTTCCTATTAGAGACTGTTACAAGACCTTTCCTCCCACTAGCACCTTGCTTATTTGGTATCTTTTCTGGATGTTTATTATGTTCTCTAACATGAAAACTGATGCAAAATATTAGTTAAAATTATCTGCCATTCCCTGTTTCCTGTAATGAAATCCCCAGTGGCATCATGCAAGGGTCTCTCACTTACTTTAGCTACTCTTTTTCTTTTTGTGTACCAGGAGAAGATCCTGTTGCTCATTTTAACATATTTCTTGCCAATTTACTTTAAGAATTAATTTTCTCCCCCTTTATTAGCATTTCAGTCTTTGGCTACTGGTTCCTGGATAGGTTCTGCAACATACTGCTCTAAGAAACAATCCTATTCACTTTAGAAATCATCTTCCATGTTAGCCTTGCCCATTTGATTTCTCCAGTCAATATGCAGATTGACTCCCATTCTTTTTTCCTGATGTTTCTTCTTGCTATCTCAGGAATAAGGCAATTTAGAATGGGTTTCTAAGGAGCAGGGTTCAAATGACACTTGCTTTCAATACGATATTATAAAGATGTTTGTAAGGAAAAAACTGGAAAAGATCCTTTTGGTTACAATGCAACTTTTACAATAATTTCACAATCCTTAATGACGCAATCTCCTGGATGAGGCAAATAATGCCATGGTAATTTCCCCTCGAATTTCAGAAGTCTATTAGTCAAGGCCCTGCCCTTTGTGGACTATGGCTCATTGTGATTTCTGGAAATCACAAAATCTGACCTCATGACTAATTAGACATCTTCCATTGATTCAGCAAGTGGTGAAATCCCTTTTGAGAAAAGCTGTTGGGAATTCATACCAACTAGACGCTTTTATTCTTTGTTTTGGAGGTTGATGGTCAATCAAAATATTTTTCTGTTTTCAAAGCACTGTAATCACAACAGTCTTATCCATTTCAAATAATTTGGATATAATCCATCTCTTCATTTCTTTAACAGCTGAATCATTTCAAAACTACACTCCTCTAAAAT